GTAGCCTGAGGCCTGGAGTGGGGAGCAGAGCAAGTTGTAGCCTGAGGCCCGGAGCAGGGAGCACAGCGAGTCGCAGGCCGGGGCCTGGGGCCCAGAGCGGGGAACAGAGCGAGTCACAGGCTGGAGCACGGAGCCTGGAACAGGGAGCAGAGCGAGTCACAGGCCAGAGCATGGACCCCGGAGCGGGGAGCAGAGTGAGCCCAGGCCAGAGCACGGAGCAGGGAGCAGAGTGAGCCCAGGCCAGAGAACGGAGCGGGGAGCAGAGCGAGTCACAGGCCGGGGCCCCAAGCAGGGAGCAGAGCGAGTCACAGGCCGGGGCCCGGGGAGCAGAGTGAGTCACAGGCCGGAGCCCAGAGCGGGAAGCAGAGTGACGTGCAAGCGGAGTCCTGGAATAGGGGGCAGAGCGAGTTGCGACTGGAGACTGCAGTGGCAGGGAGTCCTGGACAGAGCCCATGCTGTGTCCACGTGCTGGCCTCATGTTCTGAAGCTTGGTGGGCATGGACTCATGTTGGAAAAGGACAATAACTTAATTAATTTAAAGACACTTATTCTCATTCTGGATGTTTAAACTCGGTATCCCCTGCTAGTTTATTTTTGCTATTTCAATTCTGTGAAAACGCTTAAAGTATCTAGACCTAGGTACCCAGTACATAAGATGGCATCAAAGAGGTAACATTACAAAAGTTTCACTGCACTCATTCTAGTATATGTTACAATAAAGGCTATTATAAATGGTCCTTAAGGACCTTATTTACGAAAATAACTTTAGCTGTGCCAAGTGTGACATAAGACGGGCCACTCGAGGATGATTTGCTACAGCAGGAGGGGATTACCATCCATGGGGCATGTATCTAAAATCTGACCATCCCAATCTGCACGTGTACCAGACGTCAATGATACGAAATAAGATGTGTCCTTCTAAGGAGATGTTGTTAGCACTTGAAAAGATATCTGGAATGCAGAAACTCTGGTTCATGGCAGGAACTCAAATTTTAAATTTGACAAAAGAGGAGTGTCTTTTCTTTCAAAGACCACATCATAGTTGGAGCTTAAATTTCTCCAACAGGCTTCCATTCAACTTCAAGGGACAAGAGACTTTGACGTTATAAATAGGGTTAGGTTAAAATGTGAAAAGCTGTTTGGTAAAATGAAAGGCTTAAGAGTGTGTAATTAGAGGTTATAATATCTATTCTGCTCATTGTCAGTCTGCATCATCAATAATGTCAAGTAATGTTAGACCACATGTAGGTGAACCTGAGAGGGAAATATTCTGATAAATTCAATGCAACAGTTTATCTTGTAAATAATGTAAACAGCCAATAAATGCTTTTCTTTAGATTAAAGCAGCTCTTTCATTGGAAACATATTGTCCCCAAACATCATAATAATGCATATGTGCTAATTTCAAAACCACTGAGACTACTGGAATAAAGGCCCAGTGAAACCAATCTTGGTTCCCTGAATTGTGAAAGTGCCACCTTGTGTACTGACACTTCTTGTAGAGTAGGAGACTAATGGCAGAACATATCATCTCTAATTTCATACAACAATCAACGCTTGGTGTAACTTCATAACTAAAGTCTATGACATTGATGGTGGCACAAATTACGGGCCCAGGCTGTTACCAACACATGTCAGTTTTGCAATATCAGTAAAGGTGGAGATTTTCCAGAATCAAATTGGAACTGGTTATATATTCTACCAGTTTTCTGCCTTCATGTCAATTCAATAAAAGGCCACTGCAGCAGATGAGTTCCAGAGATTGTCAAGACGAAATCTTTCATATTTGGCCTCACTGCTTATAATCTTTTTATTTGCAGGGAACATCTTTTGCACTATTATCACATCATCTGTGACAGATAATTGTAAACTGTTGTTTGTGACATTTCAAATTTGAAAATGACAGCTGGACATCAATGCATAAAATTTTCCACATTGTTGAGTGTATATTTTCTCCTTCCTATTAATGCAAATTGCTTTCCAGTGGCTACAGTTTGCTCTAGACCTATGAACACGAACCTAACCACCTAAATTGTCAATAAATCGTACTAGGAATAGACATTGCTTCAAATCAGCACTGACAAAGTTGTTGAATGATTGTTGAAGGGAGTAATTGTTTCAATTAAACTCAAGAAAAACTGAACATTCTGCCCAATGGACCTTAAGTAACTTGTATTATTAAAATTATTTTAGCTGCGTCCTAACCTGAGGACAATTCACACAAAAATGCTGCAGGCAGGGTTTGCCTGTTGATTGTCTGAACTGAAATTATATGCTTCTCTTACAGAGAACAGCACGGCACTTACTGGGACATCATCTGCAGCAAACACAACAGGTACAGAAAATGGGCTCTTTGTAACTATACAGAACATTAGCAAACTGTTGTTGAAATAGATTAATAGGATACAAAAAGAGCTTGTTTCTGTATAATGAATTCACATGTGTGCTAATCCGTAGACAACTTAAAAACTAATGTTACAGACCTGTGGGAAATGTGAAGCTGTTGAATGTTGGATCTGAAATCACGTATTTCCCTTTAATTTGACACCACAAGTACAACTGAGGCATCAATTCTACAGATTCTACCTTCTGTTCATTTGCCATTAGCATCTGCTTTAAGCTGCATGCAAAGCTCTGGAAAGAGAGAGAATTTATCACATAAAATTATTTTGTAAAACAGCATGCAACTGACGTGGCATTCTCAAAAACGTCAATAATAGCAGAAGAAATATTTATCAAGTGCATTTAAAAAATGTGTCTTGCCACACCACATTCAGTATAAATGAAAGTCTCCTAAACCTTGCCTAATCACTTGAAATCTTTTTACAGGGAATTCCTTTACCAATGCAGCCATTTCACCTATGACAGGTAAAGCAAATAGGTATTTGAGAGATTTTCATTTTGAAGATGTCAGCGGTGTACTGATTGAAACGCATGAAGTAAAAACAAATTTATCTTCATCACCTCTCTCGTACTGCAAATGCTTGTCTTTAAGGCTGCCCTCCAGTGGTTATCTAGATCTACAATTATAACCATAATCAC